GACTCACTGCTGCAGGATATTGGTACAACAAACAGCTCAATAAAGTTAGGATGTTGTAGAGAGGTAAGAACCTGCATGTTTTGGGGCATACAATTTGTGGGAGTCGGGATGGACTATTTCTCCTTTGCTATAGATGGGAAGTATCCTAGACTAGCTGGAGCAGTGATGTAACCTTGTATGGATGACAACTCTATAGTTGTTATAACATGCTTCCAACCTATCCACCCTATGAGTCACTCAGGAGAAAGATCTTAAGAACCAGCTTCTCTACCAACTTCTCAAACCACCATTTGTAGTTCTCAAAAACTGCAATTCCTTCTCCACCAGACGGCACTCTGCTGGTTACCGATGATCCATAGACCACCAGCTAAAAATACTCACACCTCAAGTGCAGACCATAGCCCATTTTCTATGCATAATGGATTTAAAAAGTGGTACTTTTATTTTTCATTTCAGACATAAGCAGATCTGTAAAATAGTAGTATTCCCAAACAGGAGTCCCATTTTCATGGTTCACAGGTATAGGGAGAGTTCTCGGTAGATATATTCCCAGAGATTTTGGGACTGGACCTGATGATCTGCTGAGGTCCCTCCCAGCCTTACAATCTATGAATCTATGATTGTTGATTACACTTCCAAATACTTCACAAGCTCTACGGAGAATTCATTACTGTGCCCATGCTTCCTAGCTTTTCAGCATTGAATCACTTTAATTGATTCCCACTATTCGCCGGCATTTCTGCTAAACATTCTCCAAGGGTCTTAGGACCCATTGTTGCTGGCTATCACTCTAAGTAGTCTTTCTTCAGTCTTTACACATCTCTACTACCCCATTCACCTTGGTGGGTTTTCAGTGGTCTCCATCAGACTTTAACTTTGGTCAGCATACAGTCTAGGAGTGGAGCTCTGACAAATGGACAAATGGATGATCTCCTTTGTTCCAGTCACTTGTGCAACTAAACTGGTTCCAAACATACTGGCGCCTCCCTTTCTTTTGGATTAAACCAGCAAGGCTGAGTGTGAAACACTGGTGTGTGGGCAGATCAGTGTCTCCATACACACTGCCCAGGCTTCTGTACACCGGAGAGGTCACTTGAGCTTCGCTTTATCTTTCAAGCAAGGATTACATGCAGGGAGCTGATAATTCAGCATAATTCTGTTGTCTCAGGAGACAGACAGATGCCTACTATCAGGCTGGGATATTCTTTAGCTCTCCTCCATATGGTATTATGCCCCTCTTGTAATTGTGGAAGGCCTTTAAGAAAAAGACATGTCCTACTACCAGCATGTGGTTGTTGGAGCTTCTCTTTCAACTCAGGCAGTTAAGGGCATGGATTAGGAGAGATGGTCCAGAGTTGGATCCTGATGTGTTCCAGCTACAATACTACAGCATCCCCTATGAGTGAGTTAAATGTTGTTAGGGAAGGGATTGTGCTCTCCTTAATTCTAGTATTTGCACTCAATGTTGGCCATGCTATACTTTTTTAAAAAGAATACAAGAAAAACATTGGTGACATGGCTGGGGTTGGTTCCAGGAGAAATCTCTCCTACCCTAAAAGGTAGGGCAAGGTGGCACCTTGGGCACTAACCAGTTCAGAGAGGCTTGAGGTGTCAAAGGCAACAACCTACTTAGTCACATGCATCATGGGTGCAACAATCTCCAGATGGCAAGAGAAGAGACCCAAAGGAAGGATGAAAGCCCCACAGGATATTGTGTTGCATGGAGGATGCCCCAGGTACATGTGGTGCTTCACAGATACGGCTCTCCTCTCTTAGTCACCACTTAAAAGACATGCAAGGAATCACCGGTGGGAACCAAGTGCAAAGAGAAAGATGTTGATCATGGAAGCCCAAGAGGGGGAAATGTGGGCTGCTCATCAGGGGTCAGGACCTCTCAGTTACATCAGCTGAAACAAGATAAAAATGAAAGATGGATGGGGAGAGGAATTTTCAAAGCCAAGTTGAGTTAAAAATAGCCCGTGTAACTGCACTGACTGTGTGTAGTTTCTTAATCTCTCTGGAACACGTCACAACTGTCTCATGACTCTGGAAAAGGGAGCAAGACAGGAAGGAAGGAAGGAGGCTGTAGACTTTGTAGGAACTCAAGATCCTTAAAGTGCAATAAACTAAGCAGAAGGAACTTGAGTTGGCTGGGTGCTCGCAAGAATCCCAATTAAGTCATTTTGGTTAAGTATTATCCTGCCAGCAGTTTCCTTTCAGGGATGTCATGGGCATTCTCTCAGATCCAACCTCTACTTGCCATTCTCTCCACCAGTGATAGCTTATGAATATATTATTTTTCAGACTGCTCTGACCCAAGGCATCTTCATCAGCGGCTTGGATGAGGGCAGGGAGCAGATTCAGAAGGATTTGGATAGATTGGGAAAGTGGCATGGGCAGCTGGTGCCTCCTGAGTTGGGGGGTGGGGGGGCACTTGCCACCTCAGTGGACAGTCAGCAACCGGGGGGAGGTCCCCCCACAGCTGATCCTGCCGACCAGCTGGGGGGAGGGAGGCCACAGCTGATCCCGCTGACCCACAACTGGCAGCGGCACGTCTCTGGCACTTCTGGGTTAGCGGGATCAGCCGCGGGGGGACTGCTTCTCCTGGTGCACTCCCTGGCCAGCTTTCTCATGGGGGGCACCAGTGCTCGCACCTGCCACTGCTGCCCAGGAATGCTGCAGTCAGGGGGTGCACCAGCACTCTCAAGGGGTGTACGTGCATCCTCGTACACCCCCGACGTGTTCTGTGGGCAGAACAGAATAGGATGCAGTTTAACACAGATAAGTGCAAAGCGATGCATCTAGGGAGAAAGAATCACCGACACACCTGCAGACTGGGAGGTGACTTTCTAAACATCACAGCAGCAGAAAGCAATCGCAGAGTCATAGTTGACTCCAAAATGAACATAAGTTGTCAACATAACAAAATGATAAGTAAAGCCAACCACACTCTTTCATGCTTTAGAAGGTGCATCATGAACAGGTCTAAGGAGGTGATACTTCCCCTCTATGTGGCATTGGTAAAACCACAGCTGGAGTACTGCGTCCAGTTCTGAGTGCCACACTTCAAGAGGGATGTGGATAACTTTGAGAGGGTTCAGAAGAGGGGTAGTTGTACGGTTAGGGGCCTGCAGGTCAGGCCCTATGAGGAGAGATTGAGGGACCTGAAGCTCTTCAGCCTCTGCAAAAGAAGGCCAAGAGGGGATCTTGTGGCCATCTATAAATTAATCGGGTGGGAGCAGCAAGGAATAGGGGATACTCTGTTTAACAGGGCACCCCTTGGGCTTACTAGGAACAATGGCCATAAACTGACAGAGAGCAGATTTGAATTAGACATTAGGAAAAATTTCTTTACGGTGAGGGTTGCCAAAATCTGGAATGGGCTTCCAAGGGAGGTGGTGCTCTCCCCTACCTTGGGGTTCTTTAAGAGGAGACTGGACAAGCACCTAGCTTGGGTCATCTGACCCCAGTGCTCTTTCCTGCCCAGGGCAGGGGGTCGGATTCGATGATCTACTGAGGTCCCGTCCAACCCTAGAAATCTATGAAATCCCAAATTCTATTCTTAGTGTCAGAGTTTCAAAGGCAGGAGGGAAAAATGTGATCGTCTAGTCTGACTTCCTGTATAATACAGGACAAAGACTTCCCTGAATTCATTCTGTTTCTCAATTCACTGACACACATTCTTCTCCAGGTCAATGGCTTGCTTGAGGACTACATCAGAAGGGGTCCAGTATATTCAATAAGGAAGGCTGGGAGGGGTTAATGATGTCAGTACCAAAGGGGTTTCCTAAGCAGGCTCTATCAAAGTCCTTACTGAAACTAATTTCCCATAACCTTCCATGCCTGTGTAAGAAATGAGTGGGAATGAAAGGAGAACTTCTCTTCCATGGAGAGGGCCGGCTTGAGGTCTGTGTACCTCCTCAGTCTCTATCCAAGGACAATCAGTTGTATTTTATCCACGTTCTTTAACTTTAAAATGAGTGTCATAGAACAGAAGTCTGGCCAAGCTACCAACTCCATGGCCGGTTGGACAAAACCCAGGAGCTGAACATATAGCCAATAGGAAACAAACTCATTCCCACAGGTATTAGACCTGGGAACTGACATCAAACCTGGCCTGGGGATAGCCCCAGCTGAGGAAAGGAGACGAATTCTTGCAGGGCATCGTAGCAACGTTCCCCGCTCCACCATTCTCAATCTGGATTCTCAGCTTAGATAAAGGCTTGGGGTGAGGTAGGGAGATCCCACAGGAGCTGAGAGCAGGTGTCAGGAAAACACTGGGCCTGGAGCTGAGTGAGGACATATGGGAAAAGGGACCATTGGGCTTGGCTGTCACAGAGGATGTGAGGGGGCAGGGCTGGCAGGGGTATGCAATGCAGACTCTGCTCTCACTCCAGGGGCAGGGTTGAGGTTAGATATACAACTGTGTTGCTAAGAGCTGGACCTGCCCCAGATCACAAGGCAGCTGTCCCCTGCAAAGTGCCTGCAGCCATTGGTTCCTGAGAAACTTCCTTCTCCAGCTTAGAGGCACTTTATTTTTAGCTGGTGACTTAAGCAGAAGTTATTCATTAATGTATGAGGGTAGAGGAAGTATTGAAAGCAGGCAGCTTGTTCCAGGTCCCTCAAGTCTTAAAGCAGCAAATCGAACCTGACCCACGTAGCTCCTGCTCCACTCGCTTCGCCTAGGTATTCTCTCCCCTTCTTCCATCAGCCCTTCCCCAGCCTGACAGTGAAAGGAGCAAACACGAGGCTACCTACCCTGCTCAGAGCTGCTGTGCGAGCTCCCAACACCCTCCAGGCAGAGGAGCATTTCATGAATGCAGATCAGTGGGGGACAGTTGGTGTATCCTTTCCAGAGCAGAGAAGCCTGTGAGCTCGGTTTTCCCTGTACCCCAATCCTAGGCCTCTGTGTGACTGCATAGGGCACGGGAGAGAAAGGCAAAGGAGCAAAGGCTCTTTCAGAAGTGAACTAGTGATGTTAGGACCCCAGTGCGAGATACCTTCAAAGAGCTTGATTTTCAGAAGGAAGGTGCTCTGTGCTTCTACCACTTCAAGCCAGGTAGATCAGCTCAATGCATTGCAAAGGAAAGTAACCAGGCATAGATTTTCCTATGAGAACAAGGAGGATTTTACTTCATAAGACCAGCCCGTGTGGAGAAGTGAAAAAATGAGGGTGTGAGCACAAGTTAGCAATATCAATGTATTTCTTTACTCTGTGTATTAGGGGGAGTTTGGGGCTGAGGCCAGACCAAGTGCCTGGTCTGCTAGATGCTGTCCATACATGTGGCAAAAAGCAATCCCTGCCCCGATGAGTTTACAGTCTCAATGGACAAGGCAAAGAGTGGGTACCATTAGCAAAGCCATAGCCATCCTATGTTGATTGTTTTGATCAATCACAGTATCAGGTGTAGCAACATGGATGACACAATTATTCAACAGCCTAAGGCCAAGAAGCCTGACAATACACAGATGCCTCCTCCCCTCCCCCAACACTTCCACACTGAATTCAACAAGCATTCACAGGGAGGACAGAACAACTGGGTAGGTGTGTGGGGCTGGGGGGAGGAGACAGCGTGCAAGAAAGGTGAGATCTCATAGCAATGCACTTACTTGTCCACACCTAGGCAGTTCTATTTGCTTCCTCTTGGATATCATGCTTATGGGCGTCTTGGAGGAGAGGTTTTATCAGAAGAGAGGGAGGATCATCCGTGGGTTTGGGCACTGGCCTGAAACATGAGAAATATGTAAATTCCCTGTCCTGCTACAGATGGCCTGTGCGAGCCTGGGGAAGTTGCTTAGATTCTCTGTGCCTTCCTTGTGCAAAATGAGGGAAATAGCCCTGCCCACCCAGTAGGACTGTGAAGAAAAGTGCTCAGGAAATGGGATAATGGAGGCCAGCCAAGTACCTTCAATAGAGGGACAAGGGAGGGGGTAGCAGGGGAAACAGGTATGGGCAGATTGGTTATACAAGTGATCACAGCTCTCTCTTGTGGCCAGTCAAAGGACTGCACATCCTACCCCAAACGATCAAGGAGGCCAAGCTTTGCTACCTAGGTGCATGTGGCCTGGCAGGCCTGCAGATACTGATGTTGAACTCATATGAAAAGAAGCGCTGGTAACACTCTCATCTAGTAGGGTGCAATCATTAATCCCTGTAAATAATGGGACTAAACCTAGGAGTCCCAGGCATGAATCAGGACCCACTCTGCCTGGTGCTCTACAACTATGAATTTTCCTACCATGTCACAGCTAAAGGGGTCCCAGCTCTCAAGACACAGTGACTGGTGCTTCAGGTCTGATTTCAACCCCCTTCGCCAAAGGAAGAATCCGCCCGCCTGTGCCCACCTTCCATTACCAAAGGGCAGGGCAAATAAAATATACCATGTGTGAACAGTAGCACGAGGGCTGTGAGGCCACCAGCGCTAACAATGCCACTGAACCACCACAGCTACCCCACAGCTCTGCCTATCCGATCAAAAGCACCAGACTCTCTTCTGGTCTGTCCTTTCTTAAGGAGCAGCAAGGCACTACAGAGTAAGGGAGGGCAAGCAGTGACAAGTCTGAGACCTAACAGGTGGTCGCTTCCTCCTCAGCAGAAAATTTCCTGATACAGCAGAGCACAATTATTCCCCCCAGGGGAATGTTATTCCAGTGCCAAGTGGGATGGCAGCAGTGCCCAGCTCTTGCCCTGGGTGTCTGCACAGGAATAAGGGTGACTGAGGCTCTGCAAGCCAGCTTCCTCCCCTGACAAACCCTTGGCTATGTGGAAAAACCATTAGAACAAATGCGATGGTATTCTGGACTGATTTCTCCTGATTTTCTATGTGCAGATAACTGGTCTGGTTTGGCAGTTCACTCATTCCTCCAGGATGAACTGACGTACAGTCCAGCAGAGCACAGCGACAGGAGGAGTGGGTCTGGTCAGTGTCCCCATGTAGTCAAGCCCTTGGACATGGCTGAATCTGGGACCTTTCTCTCAGCAGGCAGAAGCTCACCCCTCTCCCTGCTACACAGCCCCTTCCATCTTCACTGCTGCAGGCAGGTCAGTCCAGGCAGGAGTCAGGCTGTCTTGGAGTCTCCATCCTCCCCAAGGAAGTTGTGCTCTCACGTTCCAAAGGACCTTGGGCCTGGAGCTGGAGCTGGAGCTGGAGCTGGAGCTGGAGCTGGAGCTGGGTGGGGCAGGTGGAGATGGCCTGGCTTGATCACATGACAGATTGCAATTGCCATAAAAGTTTTCCTCTGATGATAGGAGTTAGGAAGACTTTCCTTGGGGCAGGTGAGCCCAGAGCCTAATGCAGGGGTTGTTCACATTTGTCCTCTCAAGTTGTCTGGGAGGGCTATTTTCAGAGAGAGGGTACTCAACTAGACAGAACACATGGTTGAGCTAGAAGGATAGCTTAGTGGATAGAGCTCAAGGCATTTGAATTCAAATTCCTATGCAGATGTATGTTTCCAGTGTGACTTCTCACTATGCTGTGCCTCTGTTTCCCCACCTGTAGAAAGGGAAGACTTGTGAGGATAGGGTCCAAGAATAGTTGAGAGGTGCTTAAGTACCATGGGAAAACCTGACAAAGACCTCCAGTAGAGGGACAAGGGAGAGGCAGGTCAGTAGCAATTCCTTTGCTTTCTTAACAAAGAGGGAATTCTGCCCTTTTGAACAGAGACACTGCCCTTTCAAACCAGTGACGTTACCAAGGGACACTGCCCTTTCAAACCAGTGACGTTACCAAGGGACACTGCCCTTTCAAACCAGTGATGTTACCAAGAGGCCAGCACAGGCATTCATAGTAGAGGGAGCTGTTAGGTGTCACCTGCACAAGATCAGCAGCAATGTGATGAAGCCTGGCAAGAGACCCAGACCTGGAAACCCCTGTAAGGGGCAGCAGGACCAGGAGATACTTTCACAGGACCTTCTGGTTCACTGAGGTTTCTTCTAGGCTGTGAACTAACACACCCCATGGGAAGGATGGATACGGTATCGGGGACTCACATACTTGCCATGTGGAAGCCTGGTGGGGTAGACTGTATCAAGGGAAAGGAACTGAGGCAGTACTCCAAGGCTGTGGCACTGCAACCCTGCCCCAGCAAGCTGCTTCTTTGCCACCAACACCCTCTGCATGACCATTTCAAAAAGGCCTTTCAGAAAACCCTGAAGCAGCAGCACTATTTCCTCTTGGCACACCAAAGGACCTCTGCTATTTGCACGTGTGCCTGACTTTCTGGGCAAATAAACTCAGCATGGGCCAGGCTGCAGGCACCTCAGATGTGATGAAGCAGTTGGAGCAGAAGCAGGAACCTGGGGGCAGTGGCAGTCACACCAGCCCCACGCTGAGCCCCCTTGAGAACATGGAGATTCTCCCATGGCGCTATCACTTCCTGTCCTCCTTTATTTTCTGATTTCATATTCCTGAATATTCATATTCAGACATATTCCAAATGTCTGAGCAATAAGGCCCTTCCCGGGGCGGAATGCCCAGAAGGAAGGGAGGGCTCTGGGAGGGCAGCCACATGGGTGTTATTAGTGACCCCAGCAGCCTTTCCTGGCCTTGGGAACTCTATGCATAAAGAGCCCCACAGCTCTCCTATTCTCAGTGCTCCCTGATGTAATGCTTGTGGATTGCTGGTGCTTGCTTGTGGGGGGAGCCAAGTCAGGGGGAGGGAGGGACAGGACTATAGGGCAGACCGTGTTCCTGGAGTACATCAGTCCTGCCCCCCTGCACGCTGCTCTGTGTTGGCTTCCTGGCTGCCCTGGACTCCTGATGACTCAGAAAGATCCTGCCATAGCTGTGGCCAAGTGGAATCCCATGCATGTGAATGGCAGCAGCCCATGACCACACGTTCACAGGACTATGATCACCCCCAGGGCCAGGCAGCAGGAGAGCAGGCCAAGGAGAGAGGTTAGCGCAGCACAACAGGTCGTTGAGAGACGAGCTTTAGGGATGAGTGGACTCGGCAGGTTTATTTATTTGATTTATATCTTGCCTTACAATAAACAACCAACCCGCAGACAAGATTCCCCCAAGGGCAATGACAAATGGTACCTGCCAAAGAGGCCTGCTGGATTTGAGGGTCTGTAGGTTGGCCAGATTCTTCCCTCACTTTTTGGGTGACAAAGAGAGTGCATGGGCTGGGCCCCATTCATTCCCTGGAGGCAGAGGAGAGGGATTGCAGCAGATTTGCAGCCAAGGGAGGTTGATGGCCTTGTAGAGGCTGCAGACTGGCCAGGTCCTTTGCCCTCATTTCCAGTGTTTGGGATCCAGGAACATACCAGCTCCTTGACCCAGCTCTACCACAGACTTACTGAACAACCTTGGGGAGGTCAATGGTTTGCTCCGTGCCTCTGTTTCCCCTTCTGTGTAACAACCTTCGCTGCTCTGGGACACAATACACAGCGAAAATGAAATGGGAAGAGCTCCCAATGCAGAGTAACAACGGGTGGAACGAATTTCCATTAAAATTCTCATGTTTCAAGCTGGCCCCATGGGGAAGTGCCCCTGCCAAGGGGAGTTTAGACCGTACGGCTGAAGATGGGATGACAACAGCTTCAACCCTGGATTGCAACCAGGTCCTTGGACATGACACTTGGTCTGTCCTCCACTGGTACCATAGGAATAATAGCATTCCCTACCTTAGCGGGTAGTCCATTCACAGTGTTTGATGAAGGAGGCTGCAGCCTACAAAAGGTCAAGTCTTTCTAAACAAGTTAGTCTAAGTTGTTGCCCTGCTCTGCCTCCTGCCTTTGAGGGTTGCTGATAAATACACTAGACTGCAAAACACAAGTGCTGGGGGAAACAGCTAGAGACCATAGAGGGATTTCCAATGAAGGAAAGCTTTGCTTGTGCTCAGCTTTAATGAAAACATGTAGCAAAAGAAGAGTGAAGTATATGGGAAGGAGTCTGGTAATCCAGTGCCTCAGGGCTGCTACTGGTTATTTTCCCCTTTCTAAAAGTATTATTTAGCTTCTGATGACATCCCTTCCCCGCTTCCCCTTGAAGCACTGGGCATTGACCGAGGACAGAAGTGGGAGATTATGGGTAGCATGCACTGGTACTCCTAACCAGATCGCCTGAGGAAGAACTGTCAGGTTTGGGGTCTGAAAGGAATTATCCTTCAGCTCATACTAGCAAGGTCTACTGCAGGGGTGGGCAAAATGCGGCCCGCGGGCCGGATGCGGCCTGCCAGGCCATTCTATCCGGCCCATGGGCCCCCTAAAAAAATTTAGAAAATGAATATTTATCTGCCCTCGTCTGCCTGTCATATAGCCCTCGATGGCTTGCCAAAATTCAGTAAGCAGCCCTCCGCTCAAAATAATTGCCTGCCCCTGGTCTATTTGGAGTGTTGCCTTCCTCCACAGCATAGTTTGGTTCACCTCCTATGATCATCTGAGGATATT